GGTCAATGTCCTCCTGTGGTATCTCATTCCAGGTAACCACCAACTCCTCTCGAAGTGCTTCTAGAGTCTGAGGAGGACGTTGCAAATTGAGCAATCTCCTACCCATCATATCCCACACGTGCTCAATTGGGGATAAGTCGGGAGATCTGGGTGGCCATGGTAACAATGTGACATCATTATGTTGAAAGAAGTCTATTGTGACTCTTGCAACATGTGGTCGCGCATTATCTTGTTGGAAAGTTGGATCTGCCAGGGTGTCAAGATAGGGTAAAAGATGGGGTTCTAGAACTTCGTGGATATAACGCTACGCGTTCATGTTACCTCTGATGAAGATCAAAGGTGACCCGGAACCATAAGCTATAGCACCCCAACAGTGTGATGAACTGTGGATTCCTCCTTTCACCACGTCGCCTTCTAACCCTGGCACGACCATCGTGCATGCCTAAACAAAACCGAGACTCGTCACTAAAGACAATACTGTTCCATTCTTGATCCCAGAGTGAGCGTTGTCTGCACCACTCAAGGCGATTAAGTCGGTGTTCCCGAGTTAAAGGGAGGACCCAGTGTGGCCGGTATGAAAACAAGCCAAAACTTCTCATTCGTCGGTAAACACTTCGCATGCCAATAGGTCTTCCGTGTTCTGCAAACCATTCATTTGCAATGGACCTGGTAGTGGAGAAACTGTCCCTTAAGGCCAATAATCTTAGGCGGCGATCTTCACGGACTGTTGTGCCCCTTGCTCTTTGCGTACGGCCTTCTCGAAGCCATGCCTGACAACACCTAACCACAGTGTCTACACTTCTTTGCACTCTAACTGCAATTGCCCGAAAAGAAAGTCTAGCTTCCCGAAGTCCCACTATACGGCCCCTATCAAACTCACTAAGTTTACGAAATCGTACAGGTCTCCGTACTCTAGGCATCGTAACCGATCGTAAAGGATGTCAAGAACCAAAATCCGCCATCGTTGATTCTTTACTGCGGCTGAAATATTCATTTTTAGAGCGTTAGTGAATTAAAAAAAAGCAGTATAAAAACCGGAATGTCCAACTGATAAGGCTGAAAATTTTTTCACTTGTTATTTACAGTAAGATAAATACATTCACCAACTTTTATTAAAATAAAACCATTTAAACTAGGTGTTCGGATTTATATGTCACTTAGTATATTTCTTCCATGCATTCAATGAGTGGTTCTCTGTTCTCAAGCACTACATTTATTATTCGAATATTAAAATTCCAACGAGTTATTGCTCCTTGGGGAATTGTTTTCCCCACAACTCTGTTCAGTACCTCGAGGCGTTGAGGAGAATTATTAAAAAATCCCGGAATATCTTTCAAATCCCCAAAGAACACCCGAACTTGAGCATTTGTGGAAGAAGCTCGGGACATAATCAGGTTCAACTGATGCGCATAGCAATGCACATAGTGAGGAAATGGATATCTTTGTTTAATTTTTGCCTGTACTCCAGCGTTATGTCCGCTCATTACCGCGTCTCCATCATAGCTTTGTGAAATCAGTTTGTTAGGGAAATTTCCTACTAATGGATATACGACGCTCAAAATATGTCTTGTGATAGTATCAGCGTCACATTTTTCGGGATTCATATGATTCCAAAAACGTTCTACTGGTTCACGGTTATATTATATTGTTACCAGTTGGGTTTTCCCCGAAATGTCCGTTGTTTCATCTGCTATTATCGCCAAATACGAGGATCTGTTAATCTGTTTTATTATTTCTTCATGACAAACTTCAGGAATACAATCCAATAGATCGTTTTGTATTTCTTTCGAAGTTCCTTTAAATATTGAAGCATTTTTTATGTATTCGCTTAAGGTTGTATCGAGCTCAACAGAAAAATTAATCAGTCCACGACATATTCCCGGGTTTTGGGAGCTCTCGGTTTCGTGGTGGCCCCGTAGCGCCAATTCAAATGCTCCGCAAAATTATATACAATCGATTATTTTTGTTAGAACGTACCTGCTTTTTGTAACGGTATCATTATGCTGTTGTATATTTCTCCAATATGCTGAACCTAACTGAGCTCTGATGTTAACAGTCCCCAATAAAGCCAATTCCATCGAATTATGAAGATGCGTTTTAGAGTTTTCAATCTGTAACACCTACCTCCGTCCAAGCTTTGTCACCGCCGAAAAGTATGCAAGGAAAGCAGAAACGGGCATTCTTCCTGTTGCACCCACAAATCCAGTCATATCTGGTGTAAATCTCCCTGCTGAAATGCCGCGTATAGCCCTTGTCCCGACTAACGCCCTGTGTTTCTATAAATATGTCCGGCAGCGGTCGACCTGACACCTTCAGCTCAATTTTATCTTCAAATGTGTATTTCCATAATCGTTTCCCGCTGATAAGTCTGTAAACCAGATCCATTGTCTTGCACTACCCTTCTACACAGCCACAGTCAGTCAGTGAGTCACTAGTCACCCAACATAAGACCCAAAATCCCTAAATAAAAAATTTTTCACATTCAAATTTTAAGCCTCGTCACACGATAAGACCAATATGCCAATACCGCCGAGGACTGAGCACCGACACGACCGTCCAATCAGATATCGTACTTCGCATTAGATCTGCACGGATCTGTATCAATTGCAGCACATGCTTATGCTCAAATCGCGCATTTGATTTTGTAGATACAGACAAAAGCAAGCGCGTGCGGCATGTGTCGAAGTAGTGCACAGACCCTTTTCAAGTGGCCCATGAATAATGTTACGCTGCGGTCGCGCCAAAAATGACAAAGACACAATTGGTCGATTATGATGCTTTCTCAGTACGAAACAGACTCGACGCCGTGTCTTGCGGGGACAGGCCGGTATTGTTTCTATTTGTGTGATAACATGGAAAATAAATAATGATCAAAGTAAAGGTAGATTCTCACTATACATTCCGTTTCCATTCCATACACAGTATACCTTACGTATAATGTGCACACACACACAATAGCCTGCTTTAAGCGAAGGCGAATATTTAATTTCAATAATTTACGGAACGGTTACGGAATGGAAACGGAATGTATAATGAAAATCAACCTTAAAACTGCTTTTTCCTGTTAAGACAAAAGTTTGGCGGTTCTGCAGCTCTGCAGAACTTAAGGGCCAGCCGCCTCTGATCACCTGGCAATTTTACCTAGGTCTTGGGAAGTCGATATGTTTATAAGTTTTGAAGTGAAACATTTTTAGTTTGGCCACCTTTTTCACTTGCGACGACCCTATTGGAGAAATTACGTCCAACAGCAGTTCTACTCGTACGGTAACGATATCTGTATGACAAAGCACGGATTCTTAACGCGCTTCGTCTTCCCACGCCAACTAAACCGGTCCCACATCCCACACGATACACAGTGGGGCAGAATCCTAAAAAGCTGGCCAAAAATCAAATTTTTGAGTTATATATATTCGTCTGTACACGTTTAGATCTTGTTTACGGATAGTCCTAGAATCAAATTCGGGACAAGGCAGGTATATATGGGGTTGTCCAAAACGGACCCAGGAAAGTAAACGCATATTAAAACAAGAAAGATTGATATTCAAATCAAGCTGGGTACTTTATTTTGAAGGTTCATTTATACCATTTATGCATGAAAAATAATATCGCTCAAATGTTCACCACGACAGGATTTACAGACGTCCACGCGATGGTCGAAATTTTCAATGACATTTTGCAACATGGTCGGTTCTATGGTATTTATCTCGGCAATGTTTTTTTTTTTCAGTTCTTGGAGGGTGGCTGGTTTGTTGACGTAGACTTTGCTTTTCAAATATCCCCATAAAAAGAAGTCCAAGGGAGTCAAATCGTACGATCTTGGTGGCCATGGGACATTTCCTCTTCGCGAAATCACGCGATCACCGAAGAAGGACTGCAATCGATGGATATTGACGTTGGTTGTGTGGCATGTTGCACCGTCTTGTTGGAAATAAACATGGTCCATATCCATTCCTTCAAGTTGCGGCAAAAAATAGTCCTCTATCGTCACGTGATATCGCTCAGAATTGACGGTAACGGCGTCCCTGCCCGCATTTTCGAAAAAGTAAGGTCCGATGATGCCTTTTGACCACAATGCACACCACACAGTCACTTTTTGAGGATGCATCGGCTGCTCTTGATACTCACGAGGATTTTCGTTTGACCATATGCGACAGTTTTGCTTGTATACCGTCCCATTCAAAGTGAAATGCGCTTCGTCGCTGAAAATGATTTTTGATGAAAAACTGGCATCAATTTGGCGGTGTTCAAGGAGCCAATCTGAGAACGTTCGGCGCGAAAAATGGTCGGCCCGACGCAGCTCTTGCGTCAATTGGATCTTGTAGGCGTGTACATTCAAATCCTTGTGGAGAATGCGGAGCAATCTGGTTCTCGAAATGCCCAATTCTTGGAATCGACGCGTTGTTGATTGTTTCGGATCGTCTCTCACACTCTCCTTCACGACAGCAATATTTTCCGGTGTGCGAACGCGCCTTGGCCGGCCAGAGCCTGGCAGATTTGCCACAGAACCTGTTGCCTCGAATTTACGCACCAGACGACCGATGGTTGTTTCGTTTGAGCGGTTGTTGCGACCGAAATGTTCACGAAGCGCGCGAAACGTGTTTTTTATTTTTGCACCATTTTTGTAGTGCTCTTGAATAACTTTAATGCGGTCTTCAATCGAATACGACTCCATAGCGATCAATGGTAAACATTCAACTAACAAAATGACATGTCGGTGACAGAAAACAAAGATGGCATCTAAGTCAAATTGACGTTTACTTTCCTGCGTCCCTATTGAACAACCCTTTACTTGCTCTAGGGTCGCCTGGACATCAGTCGACATTCAGCCGTCGTTCGGTACGCACTAAGCATGTGTACAAAATTATGGCCTGTTTCGAAGTGCTGTAAAACAGACGAAACTATCTCAATCTCAATCTCAAATGAAATATTTAAATTTTACAACAAATAAACATGAACAATTGTACATTTTTTTTTCTAAAATCGATTTTCTAAAGTAGTTTTAAAAATGTCTTCGCGAGTCTCGATCTTGTTTCGACAAGGAAGTGATAGTGTATAGTATGAAATATAATATAGTAAAAATCTGGCTGCTCAGGAGTGCTCCACGAATAGTTAGACTAATTTTTACTGAGAAATATGTGGCGCCACATTAATAGACGTGTGACTGTAATGCCTTGATTATTACCGATCGGACAACTTTTTGAAGAGGTCCAAGAGTCACGCAATAAGGACATTAAGAAATACAGATTAAATAGATAACATCAGATCCATTTCTCTCAAGCATCAGGAAATTGCCCCAGAGACCGGTGAAATACATAATTCCGATTTAGATACGAGTGGGTCACCATCAGAATCCGAATCGACTGATTCGAACATTGAAGATGACGTACAAGATTTTTGTTACTAGAAGTAAATAACAGATATTCATTTAGCTGCAAATTTTTAATAAAAAAAAATTTTGCTAAATAAAAAACCTTGCTGGAAAGACTTTTTACTCATTAAAACTTAAAAATATTATAAAATATTTTCTATTTATAAATATTAAAAAATTAAAATTTTTTGCGGAATCCTCCATATATCGCGTCTGCTATTTTGAAAATTAACATTTTGATAACCAGGTCGTAATTAGCGATTCCAAAAACCATAAACAAATACAATTGGGTATTTTTACTGGATTATTTGACCAATTGGTTAAATTATGTCCGCCATTTTGGGTCCGCCATTTTGAAAATCTAATTCTGATAACAGATTCATATTCAGCGACCCCAAAAACCTCCGAGAAGTGAATTTGAGATCATTTACGACACTTTCTGAATTTAGGCCAGCTTTTTGGGATTCTGCCCCACTCTAGCGATATGACGAATTCCTTACAACGTTGGACACATGGCCATTCCCCACATCGTGTGGGAGAGCGCTGACGGGTTGCATGTATCCAACGTTCGCCACATGGCTCGTTCGTGCTCTTGTCGGTAAATTTGACCTGCGTCAAAGGACGCTACAACGTTGGAAGCATGGTTTGTTATGCTCCCACACGAGATGTGTATGATGGTTTTAACTTAGAACCAGTAGAGGCAAAAGATTATTTACTTGTTTGCTGTGATTGTCGTGAAGTAGTGGTATGTGAGAAGTATTTTGATTTGAATACCTACCTATTCATAATAATTACTAACTTTTGAGGATAATGAATAAAATTAGTATACATACAAAGCATAGGCTGCCATAACAACACTTTTTTCACATTGCTAATGTTTTGTACGTTTTGCAGGTGAGTTATGGCTGTCCTGAGGATATATATTTTAGTAAATTATAAATTAACAAGTGCTTACAGTTGTTTTATTATAATGTCCTGTTGCAATGCAAGACTAGTTGAGAAATGCATTGACTTTCATTCGCAGTGCCGAAGCAGTTATCGTCAAAAAATAAACAAAACACGGTTAAACTTCGTTTTTCGACATTTCTGAAGCTTCTGACAGACTTAAGTTTTGGTCGCTGAAGACATCTATAATTATGTTTCGGCACTCAAAAAAATTGTTCCATCGTTCATTTTGTATGATTTTCCTTCAGTTGTAAAAGTTCAAACGTGGCACTGACACCGATAATAGACGTTGGCGCCACCATGCGTCGAACGTCCGAGACTAAAAAGTTCATTCCAGCGTGTAGGAGACACACTTTCCAATTGTGGGTGACGAACATTGTAAACAACGTTGGAAGCAACGTTGTATACAACGTTGGAAGCATCGTGTGGGGCCCGCATTAGACATTGCAATCGCCAAAAAATCAGATGTAATGCCAGCCATACACGTAACGATATATGTACTTGTGCAAGCTTAGACTTGCGCAAACACACATCATCCTATCTCGAGCACACACAGCGCAAATATACTTGACCGATCATTTTTGAGAAAGTCATGGAGCAGGCGAGTTGTGTTGCGACGATGGCATCCATTGATGATGCTATGGCGATAGTTGGCTTGATAGTTGCTACAAAAAAACTGAAAAGATCTAAAAGGCATCGAGCTATATGGTGTAAGAACTATTTAATGAAAAGAGAACATTATTCACACATCAATTTAGTGAACGAATTGGAATTTGCACCCAAAGACTGGCATAACTACCTGCGTACGAATGAAGAAACTTACTTGAAGCTTCTATCGATGGTTACTCCACTTATTAAAAAGCAAGATACTGTAATGCGAAAAGCTATATCGCCACACGAAAGATTGACAGCAACTCTGAGGTTTCTCGCAACTGGAAGGAATTACGAAGACCTAAAGTTTACAACAATATCACCCCAGGCGTTGGGTGTTATTATTCCAGAAACATGTGAAGCGATATACAAAGTACTGCGGAAGGATTATTTTAAGGTGAGTAAAAGGTTTTTAATTCTTAAACATTTATTGACAATCATTGAAGCTGGATATAAATGCCCCGGCTGATTGTTCTGGAATAGATAATTGCACTTCAGTATGTTCAGTCGAATGTTGTGAATCCGAATTGTACTGCATGGAAGGCGTGGAAGAATCATTACGTTCTTGCTCGATGCGTGGCAATGAAGATAGAGTTGATCCTACATGCATGAACTGCTGTGAGTGTTGTGTTGGAGGACTTAGAATTGGGGTTCCTTGGTTAAACTGTCGTGAGTGGTGTATTGGAGGACTTGGAGTTGGGATTTCACGAATGAACTGTTGTGGCCGGTGTGCTGAATGACTGGGAGTTGGAGTTGCACGAATAAACTGTTGTGGCTGATATGTTGGAGGACTGGGAGTTGTGCGATAGAACTCACGTACATTGAACTCTCCAAGTGGCAGTCTCAAGTTGCCCGTTTCTGCTTGAAATAATGAGTCGTTTATAATTTTTTCAGCAATCAGCCTTTGCTGTATTGGTAGATCGCGCAGTTTCATTGCGACATTTTTGCCAAAAATATCAAATCGGTCTTCGCTCAACAAAGGACTCTTGAAATACTCTTTTACGACTTGCAATACGTCGGTAGATAAATCTGGTGGATCTAATGAATGAGCATTACTGTTACTTTTTCTTTTGGGTGATCTAGGGCGACTTGATATTTGTGTAGATGTACTAGCTGTTTCCGGAGAATTATCATCTCTATCTTGTGATGGCAAAACATCGCTGTTCATTGAAGCTTGTATGGTTTTCTGGAACAATAATTGTTATTTTACTTTCTTTGCTTTCAGTTTCAATGGAAAAATATAGCAAAACATTTTGAAAATAGGTGGAATTTTCCACATTGCCTTGTCGCCATAGACGGGAAATACATAGACATTATTCCTCCAAGTGGAAGTGGCTCCTATTTTTATAATTATAAAGGTCGACACAGTATGGCACTTCTTGCAATAGTGGATGCTAGGTACCAATTTATAATATGCAGCTTTGGTGTTAACGGCAGGATATCAGACAGAGGTGTGCTTCAGACTACTACATTTTATGACAAGCTTCAAAAACACCAATTAAGTATCCCGTCAGATGAACCTATAAAAGGTAGTTCCAAAATACTTCCTGATGTATTTGTAGCCGACGATGCTTTTGCTTTCAGAACAGATATGATAAAACCATACCGACAGGCAGATTTAAATTCTCGCGAAAGAAAGATATACAATTACCGAGTATCTCGAGCGCGGCGCATTGTAGAGAATGCATTTGGAATCTTGGCTTCTAGATTTCTGATATATAAAACTCAAATTAACCTAGAACCCAAGAACACTGATAAGGCGGTAATGGCAAGCTGTGCTTTGCATAACTTTTTTAATGTCGTCATCGAATTCATATAGTTCTGCAGAATCACGAAAACCTAGAAGATGGAACTATTACAACAGGTTTAACATCACATGATTCAAACATGGAGCCATTATATCGACGAAACTCTGGAAATAAAATAATGCAACTGCTGCCAAAAATGTTAGAGAACAGTATGTACATTACTTTAATAACGAGAGGAGTGTACCTTGGCAAGATAACTTTATTCCTTAAACCCACAGAGAAATGTTACCTTGTAAATATTTACATTAAATAAAAATATAATAGCTAATTTCGGGTACTTACTTTAGAACTATCATCTTCGTCGATGTTGGAGCGAGAAGATCTTGGCGTTCCTTGGTCGTCATCGAGAAATTTCAGTAAATCATAATACCATAATGTTGGCACATAAACGTCATTGGTGCCTGCTCCAGATCGGCTAGACTCTTCTATCTTCTTCTTTTCTTTACGGTAGTTGGTTCTATTGGTTCTATTTTCTTATACAGTTCTACTAATTTGTTATAAGCGGCGGTTCTTTTATCTCTATTATGGTAGTGTTTGTTCTTTATTTGCCAGAGGCATTTTTCATTTCTGTACACATTTATAAATTCTTCAAAATTTTCTCGAACTCCACGTGTCTCACTCATTTTGGTGCTGAACAACGCAACGCGTGTGTACAACCAAGCAGCAGGACATCGCTAACTGCGAACGCTCGTTGCCACACACGTTCAAGTAAACTTGCGCAAACGTAAACCTGCACAAGTCTCGGAATCGAAAATTGCAACGTTCTTGCGACTTGTACAAGTCTAGACACACGCTACAATATACTTGTGCAAGTCTAAGTTTGCACAAGTATATCGTTAACTGTATGGCTGGCATTATGTTTTTAGATGTTATACAGTTGGTTTCTACAATCTTGTTAATAATGGTGAATTATTCAAATGCAGAAATGGCGCAAACGCATTACGTATATGGTAGACCTCTAATGTGAGTGCACCTTGAAGTGGATCCGAGCTTACACAATATCACTCAGGGTTTTTTTCGTGGGTTTCAGTAATAACGACGGCGATATGGCTAACAAACTTTAATGGTAGTAAGGCACAAAATAATTCACTAACTTAAAAAAACATAGAACCCGGTAATACATAAATCCGGAAGATGGTCACGTCACCTGTTGCCTCTCTCGTCGGCGAAGGGCAACTGCCCCCTCGCTCGATCTACCACAATTTCGTCCACTGTTGCCGAGTTGCCGCGCACCTCACTGAACCACTACACAACCCCCCACTTAAATCGAGGTAACATAGATTTAAGTCTCGAAACAGAGCAGAGGGTGCAAGGCAATACCGGGAACATTACTCCAGTACAACATCGCTAGGCTGCTTATAAGCTTTGAGATTGATTACATTTTCCTTAGAACGAATCTTACCATCAAGATGTCCAATGACATAGGAGTTGGGTCCCGCTTGTTGTAACACAGTATACGGTCCATCATACAGTAAAAAGAATTTAGAAATTAGTTTAGCTTCGGCGGACGAATGAGGATGCGTTTTAACTAGAACCTTATCGCCCGGGTCAAAAGTAACAGGTTTCATCACTTTAGCCCTCTTTACCCTTTTTGCAGCGTCCCTCTTCAGTTTTTCATACGCCACACCTGTATCCTCCTTCAATGTCGTACAGTTTACGTCGAAGCGCTCAGGAAAAACCACAAAATTCCGTACGGGATTCGTGTCGATCTGTCCAAACTGTAAGTATATGGGTGCAAAACCGGTGCTTAGGTTAACTGCTCGATTGAGACACCTTTCGATATCCGCTAGTTTGTTTGGCCATGCGGAATGCCCTTCGTAGCAATAGGTTCTCAACATACGTCCAACCTCACGATTATAACGTTCCGTTGGATTACCCTGGGGAAAATAACAAGAGATAAACTTAAGTTGTATACCCACCGCCTCTAACTGCTTTCTCCAAATATGACTCGTGAACTGAGTTCCATTATCGGACAAAATGGACACAGGTTTCTGTACTGACGGAATGTAGTCATCGAATAAGCGTTTGAGCAACGTTTTCGCAGTAGCCCGACGCAAGGCGTATAACTTGACGAATTTAGTGAAAGCATCGACAAGAACGAAGAGTTGCGTCACACCCCCACGTCCTACAGGTAACGGCCCTATCAGATCTATACAAACCAATTTTCCAGGTTCGTCTACCAAAATGGGATGCAATTCCGCCTTGGATATTGGCGAAGGTTTGGCCTTCTGGCACAAGTCGCATGACGCGACCACCTGCCTAACGTGCCGTTGCATGCGAGGCCAATAAAAACTATATCTCATATAAGCATATGTTTTTGCCTTAGCAAAATGCCCCATAGACTGGTGATGCGCTAAGATAAGCTCTTTGACCTGAGCCTTAGGTACGCAGAGCTTATAGCCCTTATTGCGGCTATCGCCCCTCTTAAATAAAAGTCCTTCGTGCAGCACGTACCATTCGTAAATTTTAAATTCGCGTCCTGAGAATACCCCAACATTGCGAGTGATAAGTTCTAAGAACCTGATCTTTTCCCTAATCCATTCATCATCCAACTGATCACGCCTCAAAGTTTTAAAATGTTTCTTAAGCTCCGCAAAATCGCCACTCAGCCTCATTAACAAAATTTGCACATTTCCGTTAGAACCTGGAACACTGCACGTCTTATCCTTTAAAGGATGCCGCGACAAAGCATCCGCCACTACGTTGTCAGGTCCGTTGCAATATCGTATCTCGAAATCAAATTCTTGGATAAATATTATCCAGCGCGACAACCTTGCCGAACGTAATTTACATGATATCAAAAAGCTAAGTGCTTTATGATCTGTAACAACCACCAAATCTTGTCCTAGAACCATCGTACGCCACAAACTTAAACAAGAAACAACCCCCCAAGCTTCCTTTTCCGTTACGGTGTAGTTTAATTGACTTCCTTTCAAAACGGAACTCATGAAGCAAACATATTGTTTCTCCCCCGTATCGCTAATCTGGTAAAGACTGCCCCCCACGGCATATGCGGAAGCATCGCATTGAATATAAAAAGTGCGCTTGAAATCAGGATGAACAAGCATCATGGACTTTAGGAAGGCTGACTTAATAACTCTAAAACTCTCCATTTCATCGCTTCCCCAGCGCCATTTTTCTCCTTTCTTCAGCAACTTCAACAATGGCACGGTCAATTCAGCATACCCGGCGCAGAATCGATGTTCATAATTGACCAGACCCAAGAACCCTCGCAGCTCTCTTATATTTCGTGGAACAGGAAAATCAGAAATATTTTTGACACGCCCCTCGTCTATTTCGATTCCCCTTGAGGTGATCACATGACCTAGAAAATGTACCTTTTCCCTAATAAACTGACATTTTCTTAGTTTAATTGTAATTCCGGCATCACTAAGTCTCTGAAAAATCGTCTTCAAATGCCTTAAGTGTTCCGCTATGTTCTCCGAGTAAATTAATAAATCATCAACATATGACTGCGCGAAATCATTACAGCCCTCCAATATCTTATTTAAGCATCGAATAAGACTTGCCATGGAAGTAGATAACCCAAATGGCAATCGACAAAAACTATATGTTTCACCCTCGAACACAAACCCAAGATATTTGGTATGATCCGGCAACACTGGAATTTGCCAATATGCTTGCGTCAAGTCTATTGTGCTCATAATTTGCCCCTGTATAAAATTGGCCATTAATTCAAACGGATTGGGAGGATTCACGAAATCCTTCTTCATCTTTGAGTTCAGCCCCCGAGCGTCCAAACACACGCGAATATTCCCATCCCTTTTCTTCACGCAAACTAACGGCGAAATGTAGGTTCTTTCCTTTTGAATAACACCGGCCGCTAACATTTCACCAATCTGCCTTCTAACTTCATCCCGATAAACCATAGGAACAGGATAAGCCACAAAGTTAAATTCATTTTCATCCACTAGCTCAATTTGATGAAAATAGTTGACGACGCGTCCCGGTGTATCAGAGAATGTATTCCTATATTTTTCCAAAATACTTAAAAGTGAAGCCTTAGCACTCCCACTCAAAGTAGTTTTCGCTGCTGCTGCCTGAATATCCTTGGCGCTGTAGCCTTTACTGCGGGAATCACCGTCATCAACGCTGTACTCTACCAGTGGCGTAACCCTGCTAGCTTTATTTTCGACTACATCAAACACATAATCATTTTTCTCGCAGAGGTTTATAGATATTTTCTGCGGATCAATCCGAAATGACAGCTTCGTATTTATGGAAACCCCTTCTATCATTAGCTTCAGCTGTGAATATTGATAATCCAAACGTGCATGATGCTTGGATAACCAATTTGATCCAAATATCAAATTGCAATTGAGTTGTGGTATAACCAAACAGTTCACATCCATATCTATTCCATCTAATTGAACTGGAATCAAGATTTGCGACTTTATCTTCTGCGTTTTACCGCCTATTGCTACAGAGATCACTCCTCGTATGACCGGTAAAATTGGAAATTTCCCGAGATTGCTTAACTCTGAATAGAATTTCTCCGAGATTGCGCATATATCTGAGCCGCTGTCGATCAATACTTCTACCAACGTACCAAAAATATGTATCGATATGGTCGGCGAAACCTTTTCATCATCCTGCACTATATCCTCCGGGTCGCTTAAAAGATCGATGTCCGGATCCCCCATGCAAGCCAGTGAACGCACGGTATGTCCCTCATTATTTCCCCTAGCGGTCGACCGGTTATCTCTCGATATCTCTCGCTCGGAATTTGTTCGATTATTTTCAGATCGATTACTATAACCCTGCGCATTATTCATGTTCCTATTCGAACCCCCCACAGTAGACAATTCGTCAATACGTCTCAGATATTCCTCTACCGTATCAGGCGACGTAAAATTATTAATAATCATGCCCCGCTGGACTTCCACATCAAAATGTTTTACCAACATTCCAATTACATTTTGCATCGGAATTTTATTATCAAGAAACTTTGCTTGCGCCACCAGATTCAAGAAATAATCTGCTCGACTGCCATACGAGTGCGTACCGTAGACCAACGTCATATACAACTCTCTTTGTTTTTCAATGCTCCAGAATCTATTTTTAAATGCTAGACGAAATGAAACATAGTCGGCAAAACAATCCTCCTTAACGCTAGCCCAATCGGCCGCCGAACCTCTTAAGCAACCAACAGCTAAACCCAACTGCGCATGCTCAGGAACACCTGCATCGCTAAATATTTTTTCAATTTTCTTTAAAAATAGCATTGGGTGC